CCCCTCCCGAGTCACTTCAGGCACCTCAACGACAGACAGACGCTGCCCTAAGCAGCTGCTCCAGCCCAGAAACAGCTGCAATCGCGGCCTGTGAGCAAAAGCCAAAAAAACCCCCAAAACCCACCCAATATTTTCCATGCCAGGTGATTGGGGGGGGAGTCAGTGGGAGGGTCTCGCCTTCCGTCTCTGGGCCTCCCCCTCCCTGGCCAAGACGCAGCACAGAAGAGATCGAGACCCCGCAGCAGCTGCCACCTCCGTCTCCACGAGGGGCTGACCCCCTCCTCCCTCCTTGGGTCAAAGCCACCCGCCTGCCAGGATGGGCGGGGGGGGGGGGGACAGTCTGTGAGACGGTCTGATGTAAGTTTTTGGTTTCTAGGTACTCCACGGGGTACCTGTTTTATTCATACGGCCAGCCACCTTGCGCTCCATAAGCAAAAAAGGCGGCTCATGAATGTTTAAACAAATAGATCAGCTAAATGACACCCCCCCCCCACTTGGCCTGTACTTTGGGCAAATGATCCGTCCGTACAGGAGAGACAGAAAGCTTTGCTCATTGGGGAGGCCGGAAGGAGCCCTCCGCTTCATGAAGCAAAAGCAGGCCCAAGCAGCTGAATCCAAAAGAAGGCCCACCGTCTGCAGGGATCAGCCCCGCCCCGCTGAAGTCTGCGCATGCGCACCAGAAGACCCACGGGGTCAAAGGATGCTTCACTCCAGCATCCCGCTGGAGAATCTTAACTACTCAGGGGAGCCATCGCTGGAGCACCAAGAGGACCCCCCCCCGTTGTGTGTCCACCGAGGGAGAGGGGCACCGAGAGAAACGGTGGGTTGGAGGGAGAGACCTAAGCTGGAGTGGAGATGTGCGGCAAAGGGCGTGGGCCTTGAGGAACAGGGGTGCCGGGAAGGCGAGTCAGGTCAGACAGGCCAGGGGACAGGTTGTGAGTCCCAAGAACCCTTCCTTGTGCCAGGGGAAGGCTCTGTGGGACGGACATGTGGGACCCAATCCGCTGTGCAGGAGCTGGCTCCGTCACACAACTTCCGGGCTGTTTCTTTTGGTAAGGAGTAGCTTTATTGATATTCCACTTGATATGGACCATCCATTCGGGCGGAAGTTGGCTGTGCTGCATTTTGGTTCCCCACCATTGCCTATCCTGATAATGGTCCCTTTAACCTACGACCCTATTATGTAAACACAACAAACAGAACCCAATTAAAAGAATCCACCTGGGCCTGCTTAACCTCCAGAAAACGCAGGAAGGAAAGTCAGATTCGTCAACATTAAGAGCCAGAAATGCCGGGCACCCAATTCTCCAGGAACCAAAAAAAAAAATAGTGTATTGAAACCAAAAAGTATTCCAAAACGTTCCAAGTTTGGCATCCCGAATTTGGCTTTTTCTGTCCTAGTCGTCGCCCGACAGGTGGGACAAGAAACGAGGGCCCCAGGTGGGGCTGCCTGATGCAGAGCCGAAGGAGTCCAGCCAACTCTACCCCCCACCACCACCACGAAATTCCCAGGGCAGCCCCCACATCTGGCAAGCAATCATCTGGTAAGCAGAGAGGCCTGGCCCTGGGGTGGAGGTCCCCGGCTGCATGGGGCTCAAGACGTCAATGCCAGCAGCACCTGGAACTGAGCCTGGAGAACAGACAGGAAGCCAGTGGAGAGGGAATAAAGACCGGAGGAAGAGATGTGGTCCCCACGACCCACCCCAGGCTGCCTCCAGGCAGGCTTCAAAAGCAGCCCCACATAGAAGCAAGCATGGCAGTAATCTAACCCCAATGCCCCCAGGGCAGGCCCCACAGCCCCTGTAGCCACATGCCCAAAGGGAAGGGGGGCCCATCACTGTCCAGGGGGGAACCAGGAGCCACCAGAGGCAGAAAATTCAAACCGTGTCCTCCTCTCCCTGAGAACAGCAGTTAGGTAACTGCTCTCTAAGCACCTCCCCAGACAAGCAGGGCTCCTCACCCAGCCTCCAAGTCTGGCCGGGGGTGGGGTGGGGGATGGACCTCTGCGAGCGAGCTGTTCATCAGGAGGGGGCTCCACTCACCCTTGCCGTGGAGTTCCACCAGAGCTGCGTACCACGCCTGCTGCTGTTCGGCGTTCTCGGCCGCCACGCCAAAGGTGCCCTCTCGCCCGCACAGGACCAGGAGGTGTCTGTGGCGGGCATCTGCCCGCTTGCTGATGCTCAGTGCCTTGGCCAAGGGGAAGGCCCTCTTAGGGCGTGAGCCCGGCCCCCCGGCCCGGAACTTCTTCTCACTTTCGTAGTACTCCAGGCGAGCGGGCCCACTGGAGCTGGCGCCGCGGAGCACGAAGTAGCGCCGGTGCTGGGACTTCTGTTTCCGCAAGTAGCCGCACAGGCGGACGTCCAAGAAAAGAGGGGGTCCCTCGGCATCCATCGGGACCTGGCTCAGATTAGGAGGAGGGGGCGCTAGACAAAAACTTTGCACCCCTCTGGAGCACGGGGGCCCACCAAGCCTCGAATCTGGCGACTGCCCGGGCACCCAAAGCTTCCCCGGAGGTGGGAGGAATATCCTGGACTGCTCCCGGCCGGGCCTCACTGGACCAAAGCGCTCCCGTTCAGTCCTTCCCGACGGCCCACGAGTGTCCGGAGTCCACAGTCAGCCGGGGCTCCCCCCGCAGCGGGCCACTCCGGCCCCCCACCCCGGCCGCAGGCGGCCACCCCGGCTCCC